TGAATGGAGTTTATTCAAGCGTTTGTTATATTTACAGTAGTGGTTCAAAATAAAACATCAATGTATTTTTTATTTTATTTTCTACAATACAAAGTATTTTAGTCAGATTCTCTCTGCCAAAAGGGCAAACACCTATTTTCGGAAGCACAGATTGGGTTAATTCGGTTTAAATTTTGGAAAACCTGAATCGATCTCATCTCTAGTACCGTAGCACAATAACCACAAACTTCTCGAGGGTCAATCGATCTTCGAAGGGGTGCCACCTTCACAATGGAGAAAACACTAGTTTGAATAGGCGATGAAGTTCTCTATCAAATGCATTCCATACCGAAATTTCATAGATAAATTATGAGAGGAAGGTTTTTGAGCAAACCAAACACGATAGTTTTCAGATCTCAGAAGAGTGTGTGAAAACTAGTTTTGAAGAATGCCGTCTTAACGAGCATGGAATCCTGAACAAAATGAGGGATCCACATATTCCCTACGACCAACTTCTAAAAAGCTACGAGCAACACAAAAACGAAATTTGCCACAGCACTGCTAAAAAAACCGCAGTTTTTTGTGATGCTTGAATATTTTTAAAAGAAGGTCATAGGAAAAAAGCGATGATCCGTCATTTTGTTCAGGATTTTCTCCTCTTTAAAATAGTACTCTTAAGAACTAATTTCCAGACAATCTTCTGAAACTTGAAAAATATCGTGCTTGGTTTTTGAAAAACCTTTCTATCATAGTTCATCTATGAAATTTCGGTATGAAATACATTTGATAGAAAACTTCATTGCCTATTAAAATCACTATTTAGATTTCAGTTCAATGCTTGATATCATAGCAAAAAAACTAAAAATACGTTGTTCTTTTATATTCGACTAGTACTGTATATCATTTCTTCTTGATATTCTATTTAGAATCGTTGAGGATTTAAGGTTAACTGAAATCAGCACTGTATATAGTAAAGTATTGTGCGGATATCCAACCCGCGAGTTGAACTACTCTAGTATATGGATATTATTCGTATGAAATGATTGAAATTTAAGTAAAATATAGATGACTATGTCAGAATTATTATCATTTCTAGTTGTTTTACAATTGCATGTAAACTTGAATCACGTCGTGTACCTGATACTAATTCATTATTATCTTTATTTGATGCTCGACATCATGTAACTTCTCTTATTTTAAACCAAGGTGAAAAACAATTATTAACACAACTTGATTTTGAACTTGGTTAGTTGAAATTTTTCTTTCATTGTAAATTATTATTATTATTATTATTTTTTGTATGTTTTTTGCATTGAATAGAATATCCATTAGCAATACATTTTCTTTGTTATTATCTTCGTTTTTTACCTTTTCATTTTATTATTTATTCATTATCAAAATATATGATTGAATGTGTTCTATGTGATGATATATCATCTGAGCAAATGCCTGGTTCATTATTAGCTGCTGCATCTTTACTCTTAGCATTAAAATTTACACGTCAATTAGATAAACCACAAATAATTAAACGTTTTTATAAACATCAACCATATAAACGTGATGAATTAGATAAACGTACAGAACAAATTCTTAAACTTATGCAAAATGTACCACGATCTTTATATCATACAAATGTACGTGAAAAATATAAACGAAATGAATTTGATCGTGTTGCTAATTATCAATATAGTAATGATCTTGGTAAATAATATTATAATAAAAAATATTTTCAATTATTATTTTATTTATTTTAGTGGTGCCTGTTTCATAGAATTCAAATAAATATAACAACAACAACAACAACAATGTGCATGGCTTTTGTTCTCTAGTTTATTTAAAAAAAAAAGCTTTAGAAACTAAATCTTTCTTTGTTCTTATTTGATTTCTTCTTTATATACTTTTTTTTGTCTTCTTGTTGTTGATAGTTATTTGTTCTTTCTTTGTTGTTATTATTATTCTCCACGACGGTGTGTCAAAAGCATCAAAGTTCAATGTTTTTTTTCCAAAAAAAAAAGTTTCCCTGTGAACTTGTATATGTATCTGCTTGTGTTTGTGTATATAGTGTAAGAAACGTCCTAGGAATAACATTAAATATGAATAGAAAATGAGATCTGTTAAAGAAAAGTGATGTGTTCTTTTTTTTTTTTGATTGAAAGTAAATTCATCATTCTGTTAGTCTTTATTTTGAATTCAATAGAGAAGTAACAGTAAAAACATGATCATATATTTTTTCATTGTGAATATGTTATAGATATTCAAAATATTTTTGCCTACATGTCGATTCAGATTAATTATGAACATTTAAAAAATGTTTAATGAAATAATCATTAAATCAAAAAAAAAAGACTCATGGAAGAGATGCTTTATTGACAAGAAAGAAAATGAAAAATTGTTTTACTGATGTTAACGAAGTATTTTAGAAGAACAATAATCGTATTGATGATGCAGTCTTAAAATATTTTGCGAAATAACTGTTAAATTTACAATATTTCGTATCATTCAGATAACGGATGGGTCTCTCCGTATTTTAATGACATCTCTGTTCGGGCTTAATTTTGTTTTAAAAAGATTTGTCTTTTAATTTTCTACAAAATGAAATCTTTTATATTAATGTAACTAACATACATTATTTTCTAAGACACACTTCAAATGAACAGTCCACGATGAACAACTTCATAAAACTACATACTGTCGAATTTTTTAAACTGCTTGTTTTACTTCTTGAATAGGTGTTTCTTTCGATATTACTTTTTCATTATTCATAGACAGAACAAATTCATCCCAAATACAATAATTCAATAGATTTAAATCTGGACTATTCGGTGGCCAATGATCCTTGTCTATGAAAAACGAAAAATTGTCCTGGCACTAATTTTCATCGAAGGCCTTATTTTCGTATTTTAATGCTACTGGAAAAAAAATTCTGGATGTATTGAACATGATCTACTGTCCCTTGATCGAAAATGACCACCAGTGTCATTGCTTTGAAACAAATATCTAACCAGACTATAATCTTTTGAGAAAATTTTCGTTTCCTTTTAACGGTACCTGTTTCTTTTGACTTCGGTGCGATTGGCTGCTCAAATTCGTTCGTTTTGAGAGTTGTATGTACTGCCGAAACCGAACGATTTTTCATCTGAAAATAAAGCCCGCATCGTGTCCTCTTGTTGAAAATTATAAGCGATTCAGGTTGCATATTCTTATTTCATTTGTATTTTTGTTCTTCAGTGAGTCATAGTGTAATTATTTTCTTATAGATATGAAATTTTAGATCATTTTTTAGTATTGAATGAGCGTTTGATTTTTATATGCCGTATTCTCTAATCGAACTTCGAACCAGAGTTGGGCATAGGACAATGTTATTTGTCTTGTCCTATGCTCAGCTGTTTTTTTTATATTTTCTTTTTTCTTTGTTTTATTTTTGTTATGAAATGCTTTTTCATGGTTCTATTTATTTTATATTTTAAAACATTAGGTCTGAAAAAGTCTGTATAAGAATATTATTCAATGAATAAATTGTTTAAAATAATAAATGGTTTAATGAATGCGTCAATAGGAATAGTTTTTTTCTTTAGCAACTATTTTCAAAACGATTCATTAGTGACTATAAAGCATCGAACATCAATTACGCATGTAATAACTACCGAGAAACTATCGTCAGTATACCGATCAGTATAATGTGCGTTTTACCGACGGCTTGTTTTTTAAAACATTGTTTGATCGTGTATTTTATTAAAACGGGTGAATATTTTTGAAGTCTGTCAAAACTGCCAGAATTGAGTTATTTTCGACGTTTTCTGATAATGTTGATGCGTCGGAGTCACCTATATTAGCCTTAGTTATAAGGTAAATTTTTATTAGTAAAATATATGCTGAAATTATTTTCTTCTCGGTTAATTTGAATTCTTTCTAATGAATAATTCAAATTTCAGTAGAAATTACTTTCTTCAATCGTTTTTACCTGTAACTGAAACTCGTAAGTGCTACCAACGATAGTGTGAACACATATGTGATATGGATAGACAAAATTTCTACAAAAATCTCGATTTGTTCCTTCCAAAATCTCTGTGGAGTATATATCTAACAAAAGCAATTGTATATGCATTATGTCTATGCATTCTCCACAATTTATGTAATATGTTTTATATCTTCGATCTATTGTTAGACATCATAATTGATTTATAAATCTTGTATAGAATTTTTCTAATGAAAAAAAATCATTAAATCAATTGATTATCAGTTTGAATAGGAACAATGAACAACATAATTATTTTTTCTATATTATCATTTGATGATGTAATGTATTGTTGCGAAACACAAAAGAATAGTTAATGATGTAAAGAATAATTTCTTTCATTCTACAAGAAAAATAATAATATATTTATTGTGAATGAAGCCGAATGATTAAATAACATATAATTCAATGATAATTGTTTAAAAAGAATTGAACATATTTATTATAAATTATAAAGATTAATTTATATCTTTTTAAAATTATAACTCCGTTTACAAGTAGCTAAATACATCATTATTTACATGAAGAATTAATTCTTTTTAAAAAAATAGATTATTTTATAAAATGAATAATAATAAATGAAATATTGCTAATGTAACTGTAGAAAAAATTAGTCTTAAAAGTGTCTGATATCATCTTGACAATACACATGTCATTATTTTCAAAAAAAAAAAATTATTAATGTTCTTTATTTTCATTACTAAGTAAATGAATATTGAAGGAAACCGTAGATTACATTCTTTACTTGTAGCAAACTTCTTTGATTTGTTTTTTTTTGGTTGTCATCAATAGAAAAGTATAGTTAAATTCTTTGTTAAAAAAAAGAAAAAAATCATTTGACAATAAATAAATTTCTTTTTGTTTCTTCTTTCAATGTCCTTCAAACAACATTTGATTGTTCTTTTTATTGTCTCATTTCTTTTTTTTTTCTATGTAAAGGTAATTGATTTTTCACAAAAAAAAATAATAATAATAAAATATACAATCATTTTATTTTACTTTCAACATGGCAAAAAGCAATAAGAATTTTTCTGATGTGTCATATTCATTAAAAATTGGTTCTTCGACATGTCATGTTTTGAATCGTCATATGAAAAATTTAAAATATAATAATAATTATCATTCTCTTCCCGAAGATGTATCTATTCGATGTAAATCAGCTAATGTTTCAAGAACATCATCTCCTCGTAGTCAACGTTCGAACTCTACACAACGATTTATTTCACGTGAACATCGACCAAAGACGAGTCATTCTTGTACAATAACTACTGACATTAATCTTCGTACTAAACAACAACAACAACAACAACAGATATTAAATCAGATACATCATCGTCGTTATAGTCCATTGAAATATAAAAAGACTAATCAGACACTGGATAAAACGGTAAAAACTAATCAGAAAGTATTAACTGATAAATTTTGTCAAGAAACTACTAAAGAAAAACATTCTTCTATTAAAAAAAAAAAGAAAACATCTATAGAAACAACCATAGACAATCAAAAACAAGAAATAATTCAAATTTTTAATGAACAAAAACAATCACTTACTCAATTACTTGAACAACATATTAGTACAATTACTACATCTTCAATTAATATTATTAAACAAATTGTAAACGAAACTTTAGAATCTCAAGAACATATATCAACAAAAGAATTCGAACATACTTTAATTCAAGCAATACAACAAGAATTACAACAAACTTTATCAAAAAATATTGATAAATCTCAAACAAATTCGTTTGATGTTAATACACTTAATCAATTAGAAGATATTCTTATACAAACTATAGAAAAATATATTGCAACAACAAATAAAAATGATAATATTGCTTTAAATAATTTATTTATTGAACAAAAACAAGTTTTAGTTGATACACTAATACAACAACGATCAACACCATCTATTGATCTTATCAAACAAGCCGTTATTGATGCTCTTCGCGAACATAATTCTCGATCTATGACTCCTAATACTAGAACAAATATAACAAATCATCATAAGTCAAATACTAAGATTACTAATAATGAAGTTAAAATTACTGCTAATCTAAATCAAACACGTGTTGATGCAGCTTTTCGACAACAGCGTGATACAATTGTTGTTAATCGATATTTACGTGACACTGTACGAAAATGGACAAATGTTCGTTCAATATCTTCTCTTGTGAATAAAATTCAAGCATGTGGTACAAATGATTTCGAAAATGCTTGGTTACTTTTTTGTTGGATAGGTCAAAATATATCACATGATATTTATTGTCAAAATAATTCAGCTGAAAATGTTTTTCAAAATCGTATAGGTTCATGTCAAGGTTTTGTTAATCTCTATTATGAATGTTGTTTATTATTAAATATTCAATGTTTGAAAATTTCAGGTTATATTAGAGAAAATTTTCTTAAAAAAAATGAAGATTTAAAAAAATGTACACATTCATGGAATGCTATTGTACTTGATCAATATACATATTTAGTTGATCCAACATGGAGTGTTAGTATTAATCATAATACAAATCAAATTCAAGATTATTATTTTTTAACATCATCTGAAGAATTTATTTATACACATTATTCAACTGATTATCAATTACTTCAACCTAAAATAACTAAACAAGAATTTCTTAGTTTACCTATAATTAAATCAAATTATTATCGATTAAATTTAAGTTTATTAGCACCAAAACAAGGTTATAATCAAACAGATGAAAATATATTTAAAATTTCTATAAAAACACCTGCATATGTTGATTTATATGCATCATTAAAAATCGATAATATTGAATATCCATGTCATTTATATACATTATGTCAACGTGATATATATCAAACAGATACAATAAATTGTTTTCTTGCTCCACCAACTAATGGACTTTATGAGATAAGAATTTATGCAAAAACAAATAATGAAACAACATATCAAGATAGTATTTATATGCAACTAAATGTATTAAATATGATTCAAGCAATTACTTTTCCAATAATATATCAATCATTTTTTGAATATAAATGTATTTTAATTGAACCATTTCGACGTCTTATAAAAAAAAATGAATATTTATTTATTCATATGAAAATACCTGATGCTATTTTAATTAAAATTAAAAATGGTGATGATTATATTATACCAAATAAAGATGAATATAAAAATGGATTATTAAAAAAAGAAATTTATATTCAAGGTGATCTTCATGTATGTGCACAATGGAATGATAAAACTAATCAACAAATATCAACAATTTGTATTTTTAATATGATTTAAAATTTTCTTTTCTTTTTCTTCTTTTGTTTTTTTTTTGTGCTTCAAATAAATTCTAGCAGCAATGTTGTTTTCTAACATTTATGTCTAATCGATTCATTTAAAATAACAAAAACACAATATTCGTCAAAATAAGCCCACAAATCAGAGTAGATTACATGAACAAAAAGGACGGTAGAACATGTATAACCTGATATATATATATATATATATATACATATATAAATCAGCCGACGAAAACAAATGTGTTATTCATTGTACACATTCACAATAATCATGTCTGTTTGGCTTGTTCTTCTTTACGCACTTTTAACTAGTGCAAACATTAACAATGTACCTTATACTACACGAATTTATTCTAATCTAGCAGAAATAATTCAACCTCTTGAAAAATTACCACTTGAATTCACTGATGATGATTGGAATTATATTCGATCGGATTCAATAACACTCTTTGGTGAAAATATTAATATTACATTACAAACAATAACAGAACAAAAGAAAACACTTAATGGTACTGTAGTTTATGTTCGTTCACCAATATCATCAGATAAAACAATTAAATTAATTAAAGGAATTCTTATTGATGAAGTAAATCATTTAGTTAAAATACAAGATAAATCAATTGATAGTCAACAATCTTTATATTTTACTGTACCAGATAATCAAATTTTTTATTTTGAACAACCAGTAAAAGCAACACATTATGTTAATTTTACATATACAAGTACTGATTCAAAAGTATTTGTAAGTTATCTTCAATCAAATCTTAATTGGCGAACACAATATCAATTAAATTTAAATAATAATGAAAGTAATCTTATTGCTATGGCTAATATTCGAAATGATGGAAAATCATCTGTATTTATTGATCAAGCTGAACTTGTTTGTGGAGATATTAATTTACAAATGCATCATTTACAATATGATCGATCATATCGAAAATCTCGATCAGGTGGTGAATCATATCATCAACCACAAAGTAGTGCAATGCAAATGGTTTTTACTGATGTAGCTAATAAAGTTTCTATTGAACAAGGAAAAGAATTAGCTGGTTTATATGTTTTTCCTATTGATCAACCATTTATAATCAATGCAAAAACAAATTATCTCTTACCTATGTTTCGTCCACAAGTTTCTGTTGAACGATATGGATCAATTTCAAAAATATTTTCAACAATGTCAACGAATGGTAAAGTTCAACGTTCATATCGTCTAAAATCTGATCGATATCTTTCTCATGGAAAGTATGTTTTCCTATATATATATATATATATAAAATAGTTTTGTTATTATTTTATTTTAATTAGTTGTATTATACGAGAATATGATCGAGTTGTTGGTGAAACATTATTACCAAATTTAGCTGCAAATGATAAATATGAATTTTCAATTGGAGAAGATGCTGATATTATTTATAAAGAAAATGTAACATTAATTTCTTCGATTACATTTAATGAAACTGAATCAAAAGTAAAACATTCATTAGATAAAAATATATCACCAGGTGTTTTTATGACTCGTACACGATATACTTATACAATATGTTTACAAATAATAAATTTTAAAAATCGTTTAATTAATATTGAATATGAACAAAGAGGATTTCATTCTTATCAAAATATTAAATTGATTATATTAGATAAACATAAATTTATTCAAGATGGTTCATCAATCAAATCAAATATGACATTACAAGCAAATATAACTGAAAATTATTCTTATACTATTGAATTAATTCGTTAAAATATATGACTATATTCAAATTTTTTTCAATAGTTTTTTTTCCTTTTTTGTAAATAAATACATTCAAGAAAATAATTTACATTATCCAAGTAGAAAAAAAAAAAACAGAAAATGAATTGAATGTTTTTCTTTTTGTTTCAATATCAAGAATTTCTATTTATTCTAGAGGTCGTTAATGATTGTTTAGAATTTCTAAAAATTATATATCAAAAGTAATTTCCATTTGAATATATTTACAAACTATGATTGTTTGCATCATTTTATTTCTATATATAAGTCATTAAGTGCTTTGAATTAATATTGTTTGTTAGAATAACATGCACTAAGAATTTTGTGTTAATCAAGCATTAATGTGTACATAAATGAGCAAACATTTTTGTTCAATATTCTTTGATTACATTCAAGTAATAAACTTAAAATAAAACGATTTACAATATGTAAAATAAAGAATTATTGATTTTAGAGATTTTATTCCGTAAGAAACAAAAAAAAGAATATTCAATCTATTTATATAAGTACAGTCAAATGTTATAGAAAAGAAAAAATAGTTATTTTATTGTGTATCGATCACCTCTCTATTCGATACGTATTTCCGAATGTTTTATTATTCATAATAAATATAAAATTGCTGTAGCTTACAAATCTATTTTTATTGAAAAAAAAATTAATTTTGTTTTTTTTTGATTATTTTTGTTCGTTCTATCGAATGTTCTAGCTGCTTGTATTAGTTAATACAACTGTATAACTTTTTCAAAGCTTTGTAATACAATGGTTACAATTGCTACCAATTGGAAATTATGTTTACAATAAATGATATAATATAGCCTTTATTAACTTGTGTATTAGAGCATGAGTAAGATATTGTTTTCTCTAGAGATGTCATCTTCAAGTACATCTTATAGATATCTAAATAATTAATTCAATTATTTGTATTTACAACTAATGATTCATATGATATATTCGACTTGATTCAATCACACTTTTCTCATTAGAGATTCGAATATAACATCTTTAATTATAAAAGAAAAAAATAGAAATTATTCAATAGACTACAAAGTTTATATTCATTCATCTATATCAATAGATAAAATAGCAGTCATGTTTATTAAAGTTCCTCTTGTTGATGAAAATAAAAATCTTGTTTAAGTACAAAATGAATTCATTTTTGTCAAAAAAACAAAAAGATTTTTATATTTTACTGTTTCTTAATCAATGTTATTTTTCAAATTCGAAAGTATTTTTTAGTTATACCCCACTCAAATTTTAATTGAGAAACATCATATCAATTGCTATGACAAACTTACAATTACAACTTCTTTTGATCATTTTACAACAGCCAAAAATATGGAACTTACAAGAAAGTTATTATCGACTATCGGACAAACATTTACGGTCAATGCAAAAACAAACTATCCTTTGTCTAGAAATATCTGTTGAATGATATGGATTAAATTCCCAAGATATTTTCAATAATTTCAACAAATTGTAAAACTCAACATTCATATGGCCTAAAATCTGATCGATATTTTTCTTATTGAAACTAAGTGAAATTACATTTTTTCTATATATATATAATTGGCTTGTTGTTATTTTTTAATTAGTTGTATTATAACGAGAAAAGGATGAAGTTATCGATGAAAAATTGTTACTAAATTTAGTTCCAAAGGGTAAATATCAATTTTCTCATTGAGAACATGTTGATATTGTCTATAAAGAAAATGTAACATTGATTTCATCGATAGGTTTTTCCAATGAAGTAACACTAACTTCATTTAATATATGAACTCGTACTCAATCTTTTATTGAAAAATATGTAGAAATGAAATATTTTGAAAAATTGACTATGAACAAATATTCGATTCTTTAAAATTGTATCCTGTCAAGTCAAATAATAATCTTATTCAAGATGAACGTTAAATTCTAATGGCAGCATGCTGCTTTATTTCTATGCTGTCGAATAAATTGATTATTACTGAAACTTGATTTTTGTAAACTAAATAGCGTGTTTTCTTTTTGATGAACGATAAGAAATGTTTTACTTTTTAAAATATTTGATAATTTCAAATCTATTTCATGTGTGTTCAATAGACTTAATGTCATATTACGGATGATATGGAAACTGATACATCTGAAATATATACATCGAGATGTGAAGAAAATACGGTTATGATGTATTCTGCTAGTCAAATGGAAGTAGTTTTCAACATTTGTTTGAATTCAATTCCAAGTTGAACTTGAACAACTGTGATAGAAAAAAATCGATTATTAAGAATTGACTTTTTCTGAAGCTCTCTATTAGAGACTTGTGGGTTCTTTCAGATCCGAGTTTAGAAAAATATAAACCTACAACTTTCTAGTTTCTATGGTGTTATCTTTTATTTTTCTGTAACATTGATTATTCTATGAGTTTTATGTAAAGCTTCAACTTGACTACAAGTGTTTCATTTTTTTTTAATGTTTCCTACTGATGAGAAAGAAGAATAACTGTAGTACATGGATTGTTTCACGTTTTTCAAAATTTAAACCAAACCGATCTCATCATTGTTACATAGGATGAAGATATATCTACAATTCAAATAAGAAGATTCTTTTGTATCGAAAGAGTTCAACCGAAATAAAAGACATATCTGCTAACAAATTTAGCCAATAAAAAACAATTATTTGAATTCGTCATTTTTTTAATAATATCTATTTCTTTCTTCATTTTGTTCAATTGAAAATCTCAGAATATTGAGCTACAATCATCATCCCGTTTAAATAGTTTAATGAAAATCCATTGCAATCTTACAAAGAAGTATATCATTTTGTTCGTTTACTTTGTTCACACACACACAGCAAGAAACGATACACACGAAAAAAAAAAACGAAATACGCAGAGTTATTTTCAAAAACGAAAAAAAACCCAAAAGTCAAAAAAGAAAGAAAAAAAGAAGAGATCTTCATAACAACAAGAAAAAGAAAAAACGGAGAGAAAGTATGAGACGATAACAGATATATGGCATAGATGTGTATTATTTGTTGTTATTATTATTATTATTATTATTATTATTGTTCTGCTTGTTTTTAAAATTACATAAAAAAAAAAAGAAAAAAAAAAAAACATTTTTTTTCTCAATTGCACGATACACAAAAAAAAACGGGAGGGGAAGAACAGGTAAAAGTGAAGCAATAACGAATAGATGTTTGTTTGTTTTTTTCAGTTGTTCGTTTACAAAGAAAACATAAGCCGGATAAAATGAAAGTAAATCAAAAAGAAAGGAAAGATTTACAGAAATGATAGACATATACTAAACCAGATGTACACAAAACACATTACAAGCATTGTTCTTTGTCATGAGAGAAGAAAAAAAGAAGAGAAGAAAAAAAAAAGAAAACCAAATCTATATGAAAAAAAAAAAAAGAAGAATCGCACTCACATACACACATACATATATATATATAGAAACTACACTGCACTGCACTGCACTGCACACATATATAGATATATTTATACATACACGCATAAAGTGTGTCATGGGATTTTGTTCGTTATATTCGCATATGCGAGATGTAAGTAAGGAAACCGAGCGACCATTGCGATACAAAAATAAGGATTGCAACAAAACTGTTCGATAGAGTAGATGTGTAGACTAGCTCAACACACACACACATATATATATATGTATATATATAAGACAATAAGAGAAAGAGAGACAGAGGGTTAAAAGATATCTGAACGTGAGCTTCGAAAGATACATGCGCATACAAATTTATATATATAGATAAATATTAATCAGCTATAATAGCTGTTGCTGCTGTTGCTGCTGTCGAAGTTGTATTATCAACAGGTTTAAGTCGTAATGATACTTCCAATGGTTTTGTAACACGATGACGACAAGGTAAATAAACCATACATGGTACAAATAAATCTTTATATACATCATCATCACTTTCAACTAAGAAAGGTTGCATAGACAAAAGACGATTATTATTATTATTATTGTTATTGTCATTTGTTGATATTTTAGTCGTTGTTATTAATGATGATGAATAATTATTTGTTTCTTTTGTTAAATTAATATTTTCTGATTCATTACTATCAGTTATATGACCATTTAAATCATTATCATTTGTTAATGAATATTTTCTTGTTGATACAACATTTATATCAGTTGGAATCGTAGATGTTGCTGATAAAATATTTGAAGATAATGAAAGTGCTGTTTTCGATGATTGTGAATCTGATGATGGTGATAATTGAGATGTTGTACTTGATGTTGTTGATGGTTGTTGAATTAAACGTAAATCATCCACAGATATATTATGAACATTACGCATATGAGCACGTAAAAAATATTTATTACATAATTCCTAAGAAAAAAAAAACAAAATTAAAATTAAAAAAACAATGTTTAATATCTTAATTTATATCTCGAAATCAATCTCGGGAATAGTATTGATCAGTTTTTGTTTTTTATACTATTGAATATTTATAGTGAATAAATAAATAAGCAATCAAACTCTCTAATATAACTTATTTCCTTTGAGACAAGAATTGTATTTGGTAAATTTTAAAAACAAAATAACAATGTATGCATATCATATAACCAATCAGTCTTTCAATATCTTAAATATTCAAAAATAAAAACTCATCGAGTTGAGCTTTTTTATCTAATAGAACTTGATATATGAAATACTACTTAGCGGCAAATTCATTAGCTCGATATCTTCCTCACAACGAATACTAGCTGTAGTTATGGACAGATGCAAAATTCTTGCTCTCAAGCTCACCGTACACATTGACTAATCACATACTAGTCACGAAGATAGGTCTATGTCGCAATTTAGTCAGCATCCTATTGGATGTGTAATTCGAGATAAACAGCTCTTAGTAACTTATCCTGGCGGTACCCTAGTTTGAATACACGCAGACAAGTGTAGTCACTCAACCGTGACGATCATCTAAAATATAATTGTGAAAACAAAATTTAATCTTGGCACAACTACTTGAAGTTAGCACGAACCTCGGCCAATTTCATTATACTGTTTTAAATACACTCATCGTCTTCCAGACATGTACTCTAATAAAGACTAGTAGAATATACTTATAATATCTAGCAATTACGTCTAATTATTATTTCTATAAGTAGATCATATCGAAATATATGCGAACGCTTGTTGAGACTACCTGAAATTCGCTCTGATTCCAATGAGATTCATTGTTATATTATAAGTTCATAACATTTTAATCAAACCATATCCTTTTAGGTATATATTGGGGACACTTAGTACAGAACATTGATAACATCAGTCAATCATACGTAATTGATCTTCGTATATCGAGCAGTTCAAATTATATATAAATACTAAATAGTCATGGATGATTTCAAATGCTTCGAAAATAGAGAATGATAAGACTAGATAAATATAATTTAAACTAACTACTTTTCTGTTTGTTCTTTCTTTTCGAGTTTTCACATGTTCATATGATTAAACTAGTAACAACATCATATATTATATATATATATATATATATATATATTTAGTTTTTTGTTAATTGGGATTCGTATAGATTTCAGGCGAATAACATAATCGTAATCCTAAAAGTGTTCATATTAGGTTTAAGAATAATTTAAATTTATCATTCTTAATAATATTTAAAACAAAAAAACCAAATCTTTTTTTTTTTTGTTTTCTCCTATTTCATTTGATTATTATTTATATATACTAACCTTTTTACATACTTGACATGTAACACGTAATTGAACTTGTGGTGTTTGTTTTAAACGAACATTAGTATTTCCAGTAAGATTATTACCATTTGTTAATGGTCGTTTAATTGTATTTGTAACTAAAATATTTTTATTAGTTGATGTTGTACCATTTGATAATGATATTGGTTGTTGTTGTATACCATGTACATTATTCATATGTACATGAAGAAATTTTGTTGGAAATGATTTTGAACATATTTCACAAATACTTGTTGTTGCTTGTTCAATTGAACCATTTGTTGTATTATTAATATTATTATTTGTACTAATAAAACTATTAACTGAATTTGTTAATGTATCTGGACTTGGTATAACGCCTGGTTCAATATTTGATGTATTCATTTCATCGACAACAAGTTGTGGTGGACTACCATCAATTGATGATAGGGATTGTTGTTGTTGTTGTTCAATATTATCATCAGATGTTTCAGAATTAGTTATTGTAACTGATGATGATGTAACCATTGGATCAGGTCCAACACCATGTACTTTAAGTTTATGTGTTTTAAGAAAATATTTATTACATACTTGCTGTAATGATAAAAAACAAAAATTGTTTGGTTTGTTTACTATTGAATATAAATTGAAAAAAAAAGTAAATTAATTTACCTTGTGACATATATCACACGAAACTCGATCAGCCATTTTAGCAGCAAAATATGTATCAACAATACCTGGTATAACAGCTGAAGGATTTGGTGATGTCATTGTATCAATAGGTGATGATGCTTTAATAACTGTTGTTGTTGTTGTTGTTGTTGTTGATGATGATGATGATGGTATTTCATTTGTTTCTAATTTAATTTTTTTAACTGTATTACTATTTAATGTACCATTAGATGATTTAATTAAATTTGACATTTTTGTTCGTTGTTGTTGTTGTTGACTATCAAAATTTTGTATATCTGTTGTTATTTGATGTTTATTCATCAAATGTAATTGTAAATAATCATTTGTTTGAAATTTTTTTCCACATAAATGACATGTACTTATTTGAGATTTTGTTGTTGGTGTTGTTGGTGTTGTTGAACTATGTGTTACAGAATTTAATTGATTAGCAAATACATCTGACGCAACAGTTAATAATGATTGTGGAAATTGTGGTTTTGATAATGATAATGATGATGATGATGATTCATTTGAATTATCTGTATGACGACGTTTATTTGATGATGATAATAATGTTTGTTCGGTATTTGTTTGAGATTGAACAAGTGGAGAAAATATTGGATTAAGTAACATACCAAGACTCTGTTGAACAGACGATGCTAAAATTTAAAAAAAAGAAAGTTTTCTAATACTTATGAAGAAACTTTTTTGAAGATGTCAAATCTCTTTTTTTCGACAGAAACAATATTCATTTGATGAGTAATAGAAAAAATCTGATATTTGAAGAAATTCTACATACGATTAAATGCAACATTTGGAAATGAAGATGGTAATTGTATAGATGGAGAATTTTGTTGAGATGATGTTGATGGTGGAGAATTTTTTGATGTTAAAGAATTATTATCAATACGTTTATATGGCTTTATATTACAATCAGTTTGAACACCATGTACATCCAATTTATGTTTCTAAATATAGAAATATTCAAAATAAATAAATTCTGATTTTTAGAAATCTATATAATAATTATAATTGAAAATTTATCAATAAAATCCCTAATGAAAAAAAAAAACAAACGAATATTTTTCAAGATTTGGGGGCGAGGTCACACCGGCTCGAGACACCACTGATAATGAATAAAGATAAACTTTCTATTTATGATATAAATATTAATTATAGATTTGCCTTTTTAATTTATAACATATTCAATTATCCGGCGTGTGGACCAAGAGGGCGGTGTCTCTACGAAGATCTGTGAGGCCCTCCTGGAGTTTCTTTTTTTTTAGTTATTGTGCTATATACGATATGTCTATACTTTTAAAAATAGTTGTTTGACCTCCTGGAGTTTGAAATCGCTCATCCGGAAGAGAAAATTTCAATAAAATATTGTTCAAAAAAAAAAAAAGAAGACTATAAGAGCAAGTTTCGAAATGACTTACACGTAAATAATATTTATTACAAAAATGTTTTTGACAAATATCACAAAAATCTTCAAGTAATTTAGCTGAAGATTGTCGTGATAAATTTGTTGTTGTTGTTGTTGATGATGGTGTTGATGGTAAATTTATTATTTGTGTTGATGATGATGCTTGTTGTTGTTGAAAATCTAAACTATTTGTTGGAGAATTTGTTAATAAATCATTTTGATCATCATCATTATCATTTAATATTGTTACTGAATTCATATTTTTATTATCATTACATAATATAGTTGCAATTTTTTGTGGAAGATTAATTAATGAATTTGTATTTGTTCCATCTTGTTCATCATCATCATCATCATTATCATCATTATCATCATCATCATTATCATCTTGTTCATGATCATGATTATTATTATCATTATTATTATCGTCATCACCGGCAATAACACCATTCATTTCATGTCTTAATGAAGTTAATTCAGTTTCATTTTCATCATCATTATTTTGGTGATTTTGTATCATATCAGATGATGGTGATGTTGGTGATGATGAAAAATCTTCATGACCATTATGTAATAATGTTGATATAACAGTAAATGGATGTTGAAGATTTGAATCATTATTTGTATCAGTATTACCTTGTATAGATGTTAAATTTGGAGTTGAAACAGATGGTCCAATAGATTGATGATCAAATATACCATGTTTATTAGCCAAACTATATTATAATAAAACAAAAAATATTTTTATTTATTTATTCTATAAATAACTTGTTTTTTTTTTATAAATATATATATATATATATGTATTTATCTCTATATGTAATATAATATGAACATTTAAAGTAGAATTTAATATTGATTTTAGATAACAGGTTAAAAATAATTTGAGATAGATTAATAGCAAAGAAAAAAAAATTTATCCTAGTGCAGAGAAGTCTCCCAACCTCCTACCTATATCTCGGCTATTACATATGCTGAAAGTCTGAAAATTTGTGTGTGCATACTGAATGTTTTGTCTAGTATGAAGGCAGAACCTCTTTAAAGATCTGGATGATCCTCTTGGAATTCTCTCATTATTGTATCACATACTATGTGTGTTCGACCCATCGGAAGAAGAAAATCTCGTTAAAATACTGCACAAAGAATTTAGTTTAGAAACATGAAGTCACTTCAATTTGACTAAATACAATGAGAATTATGATAAAGAGTGTCTATCTTTACTTCAAGACTTTTAGTCTAAAAAAAAATTGTTTACTCAATTTTTTGTTATCTATTATTAAGTATATGACTAATTCTTGATATTTTAGCATACAATTAGAATCTAATCTATGCTGTTTTTTTGTTTTTCTTTTTTAGTTAAAGGATCAGGTAATTTAATCGAAGTTTGCTATGAAGATTCTTTCATGAAACTTGTAGATAATAATTCTCAACTACAGACGTTTTCATAAGTCAACAAATAGCTTTTCTCTCACCCGAATGGTCATAGGTATAATGCTAGGAAGGATTAATGAAATTAATACGATAAGTAATCGGAATAAACCACTAAATAATAAAGAATGAATCGACCCATAATGTTCTTCTTTTTCAGGGTTATGAAGTTAAAAGTATAAATAGGTCCATTCTATTCAGACAATCGAGGTACGCTCATGTCTTACCAGGGTACTCTCCAGGTGTCAAATCGTTTTTCGATTGAGGCGATGTTTATTTGATGAGTATTAGGAATGTTTAGAATGGTTTACCTTTCTGGATCTTCATTCTTGATTTTACTGAATTTTTCAGCTTCTCTAATATCTCAGAATAGGAGATACTAAACAAAGCTGAAACTTACATAATCAACTAATCTCATTAAGAAAATTGTTCGTACAAAATTTAAAGTCGAAAGTTGATATTACAAAAAACGAAGACTCAAATAAGCAAACCATTCTAAACATTCCTAATAGTCATCAAATAAACATCGTCTCGATCGAAAAGCAATTTGACAGCTGTGAAAATATTCCCTCGTTACTGGAGTATGTGTACGCAAATTTACTCAGCTATAGTATGTATAGTAGTCGAGTTACGAGGAAGTGAAAGATAGAGATAGAATCAGTTCGAAAGTATTTCAAATCAATTTTAGTTTAAATTTTGGAAAAATCTGAACTGTTTCCATCTCTGATAGTAGACTTTTGCTCATTACTGTATATATTGATTTACATGTTTTACTTACTGAGTTTTTAGAAAATATTTGTTACAAAATTCCTTGAAAAAAAAAACAAAAAATTATTAAGTTTAAAAAGAATGAAAATTTTAATTTTTGTTTTTTTTTGCGAACCTTTCGACAAATTGCACAAAAAGCATCAGCATGAAATATTCTTGTTGGCATTGTTATTGTTCCATTGTTATTATCTATAGTATCATTTTGATGTTTTCGTTTTAATGAACGTGATTTTCCTGTTGTATTTATTGAACGTGAACGATTTGTTGAATTTAATGAAAGTTTATTTGCTTCATCAATTTTTAAACTAAAATCAAGTATACCAATTGTTTCATTATTATGATCAATATGTTCTTGTTGTTGATTTTCTTCAATTAACATTCTTTCAATATTTTCATCAAAATTTGTTTTATCAATTGTACGTGATTGATGTTGATGTGATGAACGTCTTGAACGATTAATAATATCTTCCATAGCATAATGTTCACCTGTTGAATGTGATGATAATGAACCATCTTCACAATTTAAACTAATACGATCGGAATCATCATCACCAATACCACCTTCTTGTTGTTCAGCAGCTACATGATATTGTGTTAATGGTGGAAGAATTGATGATGAATTTATTGTATCGCATGTCGATGCAGTTTCAAGAACAACATGTTCAAGTCTAAATTTATAATTTTAATATTTAAATTTTAAATTAAATTATATGATTTCAATGAAATATTTTCTTTTTTTTTCTTATTATCGTTTTTAAAAATATGAATAAAAGTAAAAACTCAATAGAAATTTATTAGAAAAGATAAATCTAAATAATAATTGATTTTAATGAATTATTCAATAGATGTTTTTTCGACATTCTATTAATATTAAATAAGATTGAGATAGAAGAAAAAAAAAAAACTCATTTTTCCATTTTCCTTTAGGCTGAGAAAAAAAAAAAGAGGCAGAAAAGTACTAATGTATCAAAGTTGCTACTTTTTTTTTATTTTTAGTTTTTTTTTTTTTTGTTATTCCAAAGGGAATTTACAAATTGATTCTCATAAATCTTGCCATGTCAACATTGAAATAAGCTTATGCAATGAAAAGATTGATATATCTATTTAATACTTAAGATTCAAATGAAAATTTCTATTAAAAAAAAAACAAAATACAGAAATCTTATTTTCAGATTTAATATGATCTTATATATGTCAAGTTAATTAAATCTTAATATGTATTTAAAAAAGCGTGAAAAAATATTTTTAACGGTTAATATAAAGGTAATAAGAACAGCTCGTTACTATGCTTGCTTTGATATACATTATATATATATATATATATTGGTTTTCTTTTTTTTTTCAAAAATTTTATAGATGATTTATTATTTTTCTTAAAGCTTGAATGTCGTTCATTGACGCATGTATTTGCATTTGAATGAGTTTGTTTCCCGCTCTCTTTTCCTTTATTTATGAGTTTTTTTTTTGTTGATTTGTTTCTTCTTTTTTTTCTTTTTTTTTGGGTCTATCTCTATCTTTATCTGTCTGTTTCTCTCTTATTGTCGTTCGTCCGTTGTTAGAGGCAAATACTTGATGAGTTTCGTTTCCGTTTATATGTGCATTGTCAGTGCATCTCATCAATAATCCTAGCATACACACACACAGTTTCAGTTTTTTTTTCTTCTTTTCCTTCTCCTTCGCATCTTCTTTTCTCAGAGTAGAACTATTAACATTAGTGAAACGAACGGGAGTCCTAGCATCCTATCATTTGTGTAAATGTGTGTATGTGTGCGTTTCTTTTTCTCTCTAAACATTCATTTTTTTTTTTTTTTTTTATTAGAACTTATTGTAATTTCGGACACACACACACGCACATATAGAACCAATGAATTGAAAGAGAACGAGATAAATGTTTGTAGAATAAAGTTTGAGTCTACTACTTGTATTATTGATTTTATTATTCTCGTTCGATTATAAATGGATCTGTAAATTTTTTTATAACAATAACCATCTGTCATACTGCTGTTTTTTGAAAAAAATAAAGAAAAAAAAAACAAAAAGAAAAATGAAATATGAATTTACACTTACCTATTTGGTTTGCTTTGTTTCCGTCGACTACTACTATTATTAATTGGTATTGTTGGTGGTGTTTGTTGATCAGTAGTTGTATTTGTTGATTCCATCATTATTTTGTTCGGTTTAATTTTTTTTAAAATTTAAATCTTATTGTGGCTCCATTTATATCGCATGCTGTCATAGTGAAATTTTCGTTTTTTTATTTTTAGAAAGTTTTTTATTTTTATTTTTTTCAGTCAATTTTCATATGACTGAATCTGAAATAAATAAAGGAAAAACGAGTGTAAATTGAAATTTAGTTTCTTTTCTTTTCTTTTCTATTCTTTCTCTTTTTTTCCAACAAATCCCAATAGTAGGAAAAGAAAAGTCAATTCTTTCATTATTGTCTTCGAGTTTTTTTTTTCTTGTATTCTATTGATGACCGCCACATAAAGACCGAATCTAATTATATGGCGATAGGATAGATAGAGAAAAAAAAGTGCATGTGATGATTGAAATCTTGAGAGGATGATGCTTGTTTTTTTTTCTATGTATTTATGCCATTCTAATGATGAGCGGCATCTCGGTTTTAAATCTTAAGCACACATATGGCATTAAAAAACGATTATTATCATTCCTAATCCTCATATCTCAAAAAGACAACTTTTTTTTTGCGTATCCACTCACCCTCTATAAAATCGAATAAAACAAACAAAAAAAAAAAGTAGATTCAAATAAACACTGTTGTCAAGCATACTAATATATAACACGCATCGATGACAATATAATATAAAAAAAGCGATGTGAAATGAATGAATGAATAAATCGAATATATATCTATATATATAAAACAGTATTTGTATTGTTTCTATCTTTTTTTCTCTCTCTTCTTTTTCTTTATTACTTTTTTTTTATCATCACTGTTTTTTTTATATAAGACAGACTTATTGTTTGCATTAGTTTTTTTTTTCATGAAGGTGGACTGACTATGATGAAAATGATGATTGCAAATTTTTTTTTCAATGCGCAGTTAATGTCGATATTTTACCTTCAAGAAGCAAATCAAAAAAAAAAAAGACGAACACGAGCAGGCAGAAAAAACCTTATAAAAGAGAAAGTGAAGGCTAACAGACCCAACTAAGTTTCGCTTGAATGATTTTATAAAAAAAAAAATTTTTTGTTGTTTTTTTGAAATTACCTTTTTTTTTTAGTGGTTGATCGATGATGGTGAGAAAAGAAAAGAAAGAAAATGCACATATTGCTTAAATGTATATTATACAAGGACATCAATTATAAAAATATTATTAATATGGATTAGATAAAGAAAAAACTTCTGTCTTAGCTTCAAACAAACTAACTTTCTATCTTTTTTTTTTGTCTTATTCTATGATAGTTCCTTAACTTAATGAATTTCTTCTTCTCTTTTGCTTTTGCGTATTCAGTTTTTTTTTTTCATCTCTTTTTTTTCTATCGTTCTAGCATCGGTCTCAGATTAATTTGGTTACACAGCAAAAAAAAGGAAGGACTAGTCTCTCTCTCTCTCTCTCACATCATTTTATTTTAAAACACATCGACAGAGAAAAAGAAAGAACTTTGACTATAAGCAAAAGGAATAGTAGATTAAAGATGTCTATATATATTTATATTCTCCCTCTTATCTTGTCGTCGAAATAAATGAATTAGTAAACGAGAACAAAAAAAAAACTAAGGGATAGCGGATGTATGCTCTGTCTAAATTTAAAAGAAGAAATTACTTTTTTTTTTTTACTTTTAATTAAAGACTTAAATACAAGACAAAAGTCTATTTGAAAAAAAAAGTTTCTGAACATCAATCGATTTTACCGGAAAATTGAGCCGTCGTTGTTTGCTTCTAGATTCGCTATAATATGTGACCATTATTATCAATAATTCTTTGTTATAGCACTCGAGAAAAACGATGGAATCGATGAGAAAAAAAATATAAAGAAACACACTCGGTTATACTATCTTTCTACATATAAATGTATTTGCTTGGTTAGGATGTAAGAAGAAAAAAAAAATCTCTTCGACATTTACTATACAAACTAATGCAGTCAATGCTTGTACATATACTCTTATTTAGCTCGAACTTTTCTCTCTCTCTCTCTCTCTCTCTCTCTCTTCTCGTATAAAGAAAAGAAAAAAAAAACGAGAATTTTCCTAAAATAATATTCCGAACAAACAGAATAAGAAAAAGAAGAAATATCAAGATAGAATACAAACGATGAATCGGTTAAAGAAACAGAATGGAACATCATTTCTATTCTTTTTTTTTTTTTTCTTCTATTCTACATATGAAAAAAAAATAAGATGTAATCCAGAAGAATACTATACGTAGTTTACTAATGTACTGATATCAGTTTGCTTTATGAGTTCAGTTCTTCTCGTTCTATTCTTGCAAACAGGAATATATTTATGTATATGATCGTGTTAACCGTCAATCGTTGTGATACATTGAACGAGCGAAGAAACGAACAAGAAAAAGAAAGAAGATAAATAATTGGAAAAAAAAAAGTTTGATGTGAATGAGGAAAAGAACGCGATCGTGCGCGAGCAAAAGTTCAACTCATCTTCTAGATCGATTGATTGATTGAGAAAAGCATTTTGGTCAATAGTAATAACGCATCTGTACAGATATTTCTTTCTCTCATAAATTGAAGAAGCAAAAATGGCATCTACCGGAAAGAGAAAAGATGAAGATGAGAATAGGACCAAAAGAATTTTTTCTGTATTATCAAGACGAAGAAGAAAAAAAAATAGAAGTAGTATAACTATGATCGTAAAGGATAATCCGTTATTCGTTCTTTTTCTTTTGTACATACAAACAACTTAACCAGATAAGAAAAAAAAAAAAACCAAAGACATAGAAAACAAGAGGAGATGAAACAGATGTGTCAAGATTAGATTTTCTAGTATATAGAACGGAAAAGTTATTGATTATTCTAAATACTTAACTGAATATCTTTTCTATTCTATCTCTTATTTTATGTCCATCCAGATGATAATAGATATTATATTTACATTTTTTTTCCGAAAAAAAAAAAGAAGAAAAATGATCATTCCAGATGTGTATACAATGTTTGAATAATCAAAAAGAAAAGAAAACCGAGAGAATTCAATCAATCATGAGAAAAAGAAAACAAATATGAAAATGAATATTCTATTTATTTTAATTTTTCAAGTATTGAAAAAAAAAAAAAACCAGCTTTGATCTTCTTTATATATTTCTTTTAGACATTTAAATAAAATAAATAGTCAAATAAAAAAAAAAGAAAAGAACGAAGTTATAATCGATGCAATTTTACATTCTTACATACACTTACTTGTTATTTTCAAATGAAGTGAGGCCGGTGTTAGTTGCTTCTCCCTGTCTCTCTCTCTCTCTTCTCACACATCGGCATCTGTTCTGTTTCATTTGACTTTCAAATCAAAAAAAGAGAATACAAGAGCGAAAAAAAAATGTACGCAAGATGAGGACGATGCTATTAAAACACACATAGACACAAAATGTTAAAAAAAAAATGACTGTTATCTTAAAAAAAAAAAAAAAAGGAAAAAAAGAAACTTGCTCTTTATTCTCTCGTTTTATGAGAGTCGATGAGTGATGATTAAAATTTTTTCTTCATTTTTGCATTTCTACAGTCCTGTTTTTTCTCACTTAATCAACAATACAGAATGAATGAATGGTTACTGAGTGTTGTTAAAAAAAAAGTGCACACACGCGCTTCCCGAGAGTCCCCTTCACCTCTTTCAACAAAAACGTCGTGTTCTTTATGAGTGAGAAAAAGAAAAAAAAAAAATTTAATTTTGTTCCATCCTTTCTTTCTCTCACATACTACTATTATTTGATATTGTCTGTCAAGTGTGTATGTTCCTTTTTTTTCTCTCTCGAGCCCGGTGAACAACAGCGACCGCATGCAAACTTGAGGCCATGTTCAATCATGTCTTGAAATTAGAAAATGTCAACATATATATATACAACATACGTCACCTCAACTCGGAATTCTTATCAATATACAAGTTGAGAACGTTTTCTTTCTTATACTCTATATTCCTATTGTTATGTTATTGTTTAAAACAAAAAAACGAACGAGCATTCTAAACTTTGATTTGAATAGCAAAGAAAAAAAAAAAAGGAAGAAGAACAGACAAAACCTGCTGCCATCAAAATATATGTACGAAGAATCGAATAGAATGAAAAAGAGCACATAAAACGCATAAATCGATCCTATACTTAAACTTGCAAATAAAAAACTTTCTCTCTCTCTCTCATTCTCCTTATATTCACATCAAAAATATATTAAAAAAACTAAGAGAACTGTCACCATCGCTATTGCTGCTTTTATTCACATACACACACAATTTCAATGTTTCTGTTCTCCGGACATGATGCCCGCCTACTTGAGTGAGAAAGAACTCGATAGAGACGAAGAGAGAAATGAAAGAGCGAGCAAGTCGATTGAAGAAATAAGAAAATGAAATATAACAACACATACATATATAGTATATATATATATATACATGTATATAAACTAAAAAGGAAAAAAAAGTTCAAGAATCAGAAACATCACACTCGTTTGTCAAAAAAAAAAAAAAGAAATCGCTCTAATGAGATCGGATACTGTTGTGTTATTGTTATTCTTAAAACATTCAAAGACATGAAAAATGATCAATTTCTATAACAATCTAAGGAAAAAAACCCGGCATTATTTGCTAGTTCAATTTATTATTTTCAATTGCCAAACAGAGATTACTATCATCATTACTGATCTGCGTGTCGCACCTTCTATTATAAGCACCCGAGGGAAAATAGAGATAACAGTAAACTTTTTAGAAATAGCTCGACATGTTTCAATCAACAAGTGTCTAGTGCGTGTGTGCATCCACCATACAATCATCAGGGGCTAGAGCCAACATAAGAGTCGTTGTCATCGAAAATTTTCATATTATTAGATTTTTCTCGCTCTCTTAGCTGTTAGCAAGAAAAAAAAATTTGTCGATTATACTCTTCCAAATACATGTATAAGACTAAGTAAAAAAGAAAGAAAGAAAAAAAGAAAAAGAAACGATGAAGACTACAATTGACAAGACAATTGTGTATTAAAAGAGAAAA